TCATTCCCCGCAGAAGCCCAAGCCAAAGGCCACAGTTCCAAATGTTTCTCCAGAGCTACTGCATCTTGTGGATTCAACCATCATGGGCAAGCCTGAGAGCTTAGACAAACTAAAGAATGTTGTTAGTGGTATTGAGAATTTTGGCTGTGGAGAGGAGTCAGAGGCCACTGCTTTTCTTGTTATTGATTCACTTATTGCCACCATGGGTGGAGTCGAGAGTTTTGAAGAGGATGAAGATAGCAACCCTCCTAGTGTCATGTTAAATTCCCGTGCTGCTATTGTTTCTGGTGAGCTTATTCCCTGGCTTCCTGGTTTAGGTGATAGCGTTAAGTTTATGTCCCCGAGGACTCGTATGGTTCGGGGTTTGCTTGTTATTATACGGTCATGCACGAGAAATAGAGCTATGTGTTCAACGGCAGGGTTATTAGGAGTTCTGTTGCGATCAGTGGAAGAGATAATTTCCAAGGACGTTGATATGAAATGGAATGCTGCTGCTATTTTGCTACTATGTATTCAACATTTAGCTGGGCACTCCCTTAGTGTCGATGATTTACACAGGTGGCTTCAAGTTATAAAAGCCGCAGTTACAACAGCGTGGTCAAGTCCATTGATGCTTGCTTTGGAGAAGGCAATGAGTGGAAAGGAATCAAGGGGACCTGCTTGTACTTTTGAATTTGATGGTGAAAGCTCTGGCTTACTTGGTCCCGGAGAAAGTCGTTGGCCCTTTACCAATGGCTATGCATTTGCAACATGGATCTATATTGAATCATTTGCTGACACATTAAATGCTGCAACTGCGGCAGCTGCAATTGCTGCTGCCGCAGCAGCCAAGTCAGGGAAAACATCCGCAATGTCAGCTGCAGCGGCTGCAAGTGCGCTTGCTGGTGAGGGCACTGCTCATATGCCACGTTTATTCAGCTTTTTGTCCGCTGATAATCAGGGAATAGAAGCATATTTCCATGCTCAATTTCTGGTGGTTGAGAGTGGTAGTGGGAAAGCAAGAAAGTCTTCGCTGCATTTTACTCATGCATTTAAGCCTCAATGTTGGTATTTTATTGGTCTCGAGCATAGCTGCAAGCAGGGACTTCTGGGGAAAGCAGAGAGTGAACTACGGCTATATATTGATGGATCCTTGTACGAAAGTCGTCCTTTTGATTTTCCTCGTATATCCAAGCCTCTCTCTTTCTGTTGCATTGGCACAAATCCTCCTCCTACTATGGCTGGTCTACAACGTCGCCGTCGTCAATGTCCTTTGTTTGCAGAAATGGGACCAGTTTATATATTTAAGGAACCAATTGGTCCTGAGAGAATGGCGCGTTTGGCTTCTAGAGGTGGGGATGTTTTGCCTTGTTTTGGCAATGGGGCAGGCCTTCCTTGGTTAGCTACAAATGACTATGTACGTAATAAGGCAGAGGAAAGTAGCATTTTGGATGCAGATATTGGAGGATATACCCACCTGCTTTACCACCCTTGTCTTCTAAGTGGGCGATTTTGTCCAGATGCTTCGCTTTCTGGAGCAGCAGGTGCCTATATTTATACTCCCTTTTTCGTAAGATCAAATGCTCTTTAAAATTGAAAACGTGCAATTCCCAAGAATGTTGATATGCGTTATTATATGTTATCAGATTGTCATTGTTGAAATGTTATGTACATTGATTTGCTCATTCTCTCTATCAGTGACTTTCTTTTCTCTTCATTAATTCCTACCGTCATTGTGTTTCTTCTCCATTATCGCACAAACTTTATTCTTCTTTATTTCTGCTAGGAGATTGGAAACAATCATTTCCATTTTTGATGTCGTTTGAACAAATCTTTTTGTTTTACTTTTTATTTTTTTCTTCGTCAAGGCACTCTAAGGCGACCAGCTGAGGTCCTTGGACAAGTCCATGTTGCAACGAGAATGAAGCCAGTGGAGTCTTTCTGGGCCTTAGCTTATGGAGGACCCATGTCCCTGCTTCCTTTGACTGTAAGCAATGTGCATAAAGATAGCTTGGAGCCATGTCTTGGAAATCTTCCACTGTCTTTGTCCACAGTTACACTTGCTGCACCTGTATTTAGAATTATGTCAGTCGCTATTCAACATCCTGGGAACAATGAAGAGTTGTGTCGTACTCAGGGACCCGAGATTCTTGCTAGAATTCTGAGATATCTTCTACACTCACTTGCATCCCTTGACAGGAAGCATGACGGAGTAGGAGAAGAGGAACTAGTTGCTGCCATTGTTTCGCTTTGCCAATCACAGAAGATCAATCATGTTCTCAAAGTGCAGCTCTTCCGTACACTTTTATTAGATTTGAAAATATGGAGCCTGTGCAATTATGGACTCCAAAAGAAGCTATTGTCTTCCCTTCAAGATATGGTTTTCACTGAAGCAACAGCTATGAGGAATGCCGAAGCTATTCAGCTGCTTCTAGATGGCTGTCGAAGATGCTATTGGATGATTTCTGAGAAGGATTCTGAGACCACTTTTCCTCTTGATCGGAATACGCGTCAAATGGGGGACTCACTGCTCTGATTGATGAACTTCTGGTGATTATTGAACTTCTAATGGGAGCAGCATCTCCTTCTTTAGCTGCTGAAGACCTCCGTCGATTACTTGGTTTCAT